TTCCATACTTCCAGATGCTTCTTTTTCTTCTTTTCCACATACTTGCTTACAGTGTCCTTTTCCCCATTCTGACCTTGCTCTTTTTAAAATCGTTTCTGAGTTTAGTAACTGAATTGGTAAGAGTTGTGGGCAAAGTTAGCACAGGTAGAATTAGTTTATGGGCCTAATTTTTAGTACAACACTTTGCAATATTCAGGTGATTGAGACTATGGTAAGAACTTCAGGTGAAGAAAATACATTTGCTACTGATGTCAATAAGCATGGATGTCTTTCCAGGAGGTATATTTTCATGATCTTTGAAGACTTTGTGAAATACAAATTCTCTCTTTGAGAGCACATAGGATCATTTCTCTATTGTGTACAATGAATTTGCAAAATAAACATTACTATATTAGTCATTGATGTGACTATTAAGAAAATATACACTTTCTTTACAAAATAGATCATGTTTGATAAATTAGATTATACTTGACTTCACAATAGATGGCTGTCATTTAAAGAAATCCCCATACTAGAACATGACATCACCATATCCTTCAATTTTCACTAATTTTTGAAAACTAGATTTTTGTATGTTCACTTATGTACAGTGAGGAAATTCATGATTTTTACCCTTGGTAGCTAGTAATGTAACATACTCAATGTACTTCAGAGAGTGGTCAGCACTTTCAAGTTTATTTGCTTGTGAGAACCCATCCATAAGTAGAAATACTTAAGACAGCTTTTGCAGTCTCTGGAAAGACTCTTAAAGGACTGACAAAACGGTACCTGGTGACACCTATATCCTTTAGTTTGATTTTTTTCCCCTCACTTGCCACATGTCACTGGTATTTTCAACTGCATTTTCATTTGTTTGTTTGTTTGTTTTTGCTTTGTGGTACTGGGAATTGAACTCCAGACCTTGGGCTTGCCATGCCAGTGTTTGTGCCACCGAGCTATATCCCGGGCCCTGCATTTTCTTATTCTACATTCAGACCTTTATTTCCCAGAAACTGACCACCTGTCATCCACATGTATCACAGCCATTAACTTAGGTGGGGATATTTTATTCAGTAAGCCTCTTCTTCATCCTTAGCTGCTCTTTTTACCCATTTTCTTCTCATTGTGCCTGTAACCCCAGAAGAGGACATGGGGGTTGCTTGACTCCCTGTTGGTAAATAACTTTACATCTCAAGTCTTTCAAAATAGTCTCACATATCTCACTGGTTTCACTTAGCTTTCACTGTTTCATGAGTTCTTTTAGTTTCTGCCTTTCCTAGCATCCAAAAGTGAGTCCATACTTGGCCATTTTTTCTTTAAGGAAAGAATGAACTTGAAGCTTAGGTCAGACAAAGCATATAGCAAAATTACTGTTGTTCCCTCAAAGCCTAGAGATTTCTTTTTATTTTAACGGCGATAAAATGTAAGTCAAAAGAAATAACTTGTCAGTGGGTAAGCTGCTGCTGTCAGAGCACTCTGACAGGGGAATATCTGTGGAAGGAAACAAAAAATTACAGTAGGACAGAATTTGCTGGACATAACCCTGTTTGTGTGTGGCTGATTGGGTTTTGGAGTGTGTGTGTGTGTGTGTGTGTGTGTGTGTACGTTGGCACTGGGGACTGATTGAACTGAGGGCTGTGCAAATGCTCACCAAGTGATTGCCATTAACTATATCCCCATCCTTTTCATTTTATATTGAAACAAAGTCTCACTATGTTTTCCAGGCTGGCCTCAAACTTGCGACTTTTCTGTCTCAGCCTCTCATTTAACAGAGATTGCAAGTATGTGCTGCTGTTCCAGGCATATTTGCATTTTCAATCAAGGAAAAGCTAGAGCTGCCTATCAGTGACTGCTAATGTGAGGTCTCCCAATCTGTTGTATCCATGGTGACACATTCAATTTTCTGTTACCCATATTTAATTTTATTAACAACTAAGATTTGCTTCAGCAAGTCTTGTGACAAAAAAAAAAAAAGACAAAGAAAAAAATAGTTTGCTTTTTACTTAAGCATCTGTTCCTAGTCCTAAAAACAGGCAACATGTTATCTGTTTCACTGCAGGCAAGGTCTAGGTTGTGTGTATTATGAAATGTGTCAAAGTGGGTCTGGAAGCCAAGTGCTTTAAACTTGATAGTATTTCCGTATGTTGTTGGTCCTGTCTTTTTAATCACTAAATTTCCCTTTCCAGTTGGCAAGTAATTTAAAGGTGGCTTTAGGTTATTCAGATCATAAGGCAAAAATGAAAAAAAAAAAAAAAAGGCAAACAAAAAATCTAAACCCACTAATAGGTTTAAACCAAACACAGATGTCTTATAGATATGAAAGGAAAATATCTAATATTGAGTGTTGGGCATTTTCCCACATTAAACGAAATATTATTATTTTTCTACCCTGTCTGGCTTGTAGAACACTTCATACTGAGCTTTAGTGGATGCTGTTTTCTTTCTTAATAAACTTCCTCCTCATCTGTAGGAACAAGAGATGCCTGCATTTCAGGATTTTCCTGGAATATATGAAGGAAAATTTATAGAAATTTTTCTTCTAAAGAAATACATGAAAATATTTTGATGTAAATTTTAGTTTTGGTCATTTTGTTTTAAAATAAATAATATGTGGAAATTTTGACTAACAGATGGACCCACTTCATAAACTGGATGATAACTCAAGAATTAAATTCTCTAAATATCCTTTCTTACTTATCTTCAGTTTTGTAATTTCATTTTGACTGGATTTCCTCTTCTGAACTCTAAATATACAATCTACAGCAAATTTATTGACACTTATTCAAGTTAAATATAAAAGTACACTGTTTCTGAGTCAAGTCTTTAAACTCTTTAAGATAATTTGGAAGAGTTTAATTCAACATGATTCTAAAGAAAATGAACAATGTATTTAACATACCATTATTCTCTAGTTAATGATAATTTTCCTTGTAATAAATTTTATTGACAAATTAGGATTATTTACCCTCATGATGGAAGTATGATATCATATCTGCTCTCTAGAACTCCTACTACCTTCACTAATCCTACAATATTTTTGTTACTCTTCAGAAAATCCTGAGTGAATGCCAAGTACTATTATATTCATTTTACAGATAGAAAATCTATAATCTCTAGAAAGAATTGATTCCCTAAGAAGTACAGATAGTGACTATGATGAAAAGTGGGCCTCCCCTTTCAACTACTTGCTATTCAAACCATTTATATGCATGGGTAGAATCCTATTCTTAAAGCCTACGATTTATATAAGTTGAATTATGTGTTTAGAATTCTTATTCTGTAAGAATATCCCGAATAATTCTGATAGAGCAAAACTTTGTCCTTACTTGTACAGTAAAATTTGTCAGGTATAATTTTTCCAAGTCTTTACTTTTTAAATGTATTTTTATTCTGATCTGTAAAAGGAAAGTATGCTATATCTCAATTGTACAATTTTTAAGGAAAAGAAAAACTAAGTGTCTCTGAAAGAAAGCTCTTTGAAACAACTTTGGCATGTTCTTTTCTCCCCCAGAGATCAGATTTCTTTCTCTTCATTGTGGTCTGGTAAGAGCAGGGAGTTTTGGATTAAGAAATATTGCTGGGGGGATAGGCAAGCTCTCTCCCTGATCCCAGTTCCAGGGAGGGTCTGAGTGGACCTGAAACTTAACAGCAAACCTTGTTGTCAAGCAGTAACTTGAAGCATCTTTTTACTCACAAGAATAAGCAAGACCAAGGACTCTGGAGCTGCTGTACATGTCATGCTGCCTCAGAATAGCTATATTGGAGAAGCCTGCAGATGTGGAGACAAGGGACAGGTGTCAAAATACCCTTTCCCTGGCAGAATTTTGGAGGTGTGTGAATATTTCTATTCTGGAAGAGGTTCTTACTATTAAACAGGAGAACCATGATTCAGAGACAAACCTTGAGTAATTCTGACAAACTGATAGAAGGTGGAATTTCATCTGCATTTCTGTTCTGGTGCATCTGTCTGGATGCTCAGCAAATAACTGACTTCTGTTTTAGACCTCAGTTTACCTGTGTTCAACAGGGATAAAGTAATGGGATTATTTCATGCAATCTCTGTGTGTGGGTGTGTGGACAAATATTATCGAGAAATACTAAACAATAGCAGTAAATATGGTATCCTTTGATCTAACATCAAGGAAAAAATTTCTTTATGTTTTTGTCCAGTGGGAAAAACACTTAGGCTTCATGCATGCTAGGCAGACACCCTCCATGGAAACGCAGCCATAGCCCAGAATACTAGCATTTTTTCATTAATAAACTGTCTTGATCTTTATTACTATCAAATGTTCTCAAAAAAATTGCTTTAGGGCAAGTTTTGTTCCAGGTGCTGAAGATACAAAGGTGAACTGTCTTGGTTACTTTTCTCTCATTGCTGGGACAAAATATCTGAAGCCCAAACTTAAGGAAGGAAAGGTTTATTTCACTTATAGTTCGTGGAGGTTTCCATCCATACTTGGCAGATTATAAGGCAGAGTGGCACATGGCAGAGAGCTACAGCTCATGGTGACAGAACACAGCAAAGCAGCAAGCACACACCAGGGCAGAATGGTCTCAAGCACCCTCTTCCTCTCTCTTACATATGCAAACTATCCACCCCAGGGCGAGTATAGCTCTCACACCCATAATCAAACTCTAAAAGCCTGCCTATGGCCGCATGAGGCTTTTGGGGGACACCCAGACACAAACCATAACATGAACAAAAACAGAAAGACCTGCACCAGATGATGCCCTCCTATCATGAGGATAGCAAGTTCAAGCGTAGCCTGGTCAACTTAGTAAGACCCTGTCTCAAATTTTTAAAAACTAAACAAAGGATTGAAGCTGTAACTCAATTTGAAGTTCTTGGGTTCAATCCCCACTACCATCACCAAAAATACATACATACATACATACATACATACATACATAAAAGGGAAGGGTATGCCCTCCTTGTTCTCACACAGCTTAGCTGACAAAAGTGTGGCTCAGATAGAAACCCAAATCTTCACAGTGGTATGTGTGTCATTACACACTAGTATGGTAATTCTGAAGGCGAGAATTGTGATTCTATGAGAGCCGTGACCAACAGGGATGACTTGGACCAAGGAGTCAAAGTAATTATTGGGCAGCTCCATAAAAGGAGTGAGAATCAAGCAGGTAAGGATGGTTAATAGCATCATAGACAGAAGTAGCTAGCTAAGAGACAGGAAAGGAAGGATAACATGAGAGGGACCAGGGACCAGTCACTTGGGGTCTTCAAAAATGTGGTTTTTCCTCTAAGAAATTTTAGAACCCAGTAAAGAGTGTTTTAGGCAGAAAAGCTCTTTTTGGCAATGGTTTCAAATGTCTTTGTTGAGTGGCAGAGCTGATGGGGGAGATTCTTGCAGTAGTCAGATAATGCTAATAATTTACATTGGACAAGATGAAGATACAGAGAAATGAATCACTTGAAACTTATGTTGGAAGTCTAGTTGGTGGAACCCAAGGACTGGTTGAAAATGAAAGGTTAGGACAGAGGGAAGGAGTCAAAAATAATTTCCACCTATGTGATTTTTTATATAATAGTTTTATTAAGGATGCTATTGGTATGACATAACATTCTCCATTGGTAAGCATGCAAACAATAAATTTTAGTGTATTCTTAGAATCAGACTGCCATCACCAGAGACTAATTTGAAAATATTTCCAATCGTTTCATTCACTGACCCTACCTATCCCCTCCCTGGCCTTAGGAAGCAGCTAGCCTACAAAGTTGCTTCTTTGTAGACATTTTATATAAATCACATGATACACATTTTTTGTTGACCTTCTTTCACTCAGCATGGTGTTTGAGATACATGTTCATGGCTGATGCCCCTATTAAAAAAAGGTAAATTAGCAAAAGAAAAGATACGAACTAATTTAATGTAAAGTTCACATAGTATAGAAGCCTTCACAGGGTAAGGAAGGCCTGAATAATGCTTGAACTTTTTTGTTTTTTGCTGGGTTTGACAAAAAAGCAGATTGTCATGGAGAAATAAGAGTAGAGAAAAGGAGGATAATCTGATGGTAATAAACTAGTGCAAATATAGCAAGGTCTGATGATATTCTGTGCTTTGTGTCTTGATTTCAGTCAGATATAAGGAGGGCTCCCTCTCAAGCTAAGGGTATTTTGACCTACTTTAGGGGAAGGTCAGGAAATCCATCCTAGATTTATCGATCTGCTTCAGGGGAAAGAAGGGGAAGGTGAGAATGGCTTTCTTACATCTGCTGTTTCCTGCCCCGGATGCCATGCTTTGGGATAGTGTCTCTGGGAACCTGTCATATCCAGGCTTTTGCCTGTCTCTCTAGTTTGGTACTTAGTAGAACCTTCTTGCAGAGAGGCAGTGCTAGAAATGAGACGGGGTTGGAAATGTCAGGATGATGAGGTAGGTTTTGGACATTTCACTGTGAGATGCCTTTTATACATCCAGTTTACAAGGGGTAAGTAAAGCTCTGAGCAGGGTAAAATGACAGATGGGAAAGCTGATGGTCTAGGCCTGGATCTGTGGAACTCTTACGCTTCAGTGGTTGAGCAAACCTGAGAAGCAGTGTCCATTGAGACAAAAGGAAAAGCAGGAGCAGAGTGAGGGAAATATTTCAAGAAAAAGCTAATTGTTGAATGTTTCTTTGTTAATCAGCTTTGGTGTCACTGAGACAATACTTGAAAAGTACAGTGTAAAGGAGGAGAGGTTTACTGTGGCTCATGGTTGAAGTCCATGGTCAGCTGACTTCCAAGCAGAAACATCCGGTGGAAGCACAAGGCCGAGGAAAGCGGCTTAGCTCATGGCGGCCAGGAAGCCGAAGAGGGGACTAGTGTTGGAGAGGCCGGGGCAAGGGAACAAACAGAGATCCCAGTGCCTGCCCCTGTGACCATCCACACCTACCCAGAAGCACATACCATCAAACCTCAGGTGGTCTCGGTGCCAATCAAGCAGAGCCTCAACCCTAACCGCCAGGGTCAAATGATACAGATAGATCCATTAAGTAAGAGGCTGGAATTTTCCACTGGAGTTACTGTCCTGGGGGGCACTGGTGATACTGGTGGGGAATGTGTGGATTGAAAACTTCTAGACTGGAGAGTAGCTTAGAAATTGGGCTAGAAAGGAATTAGCAATTGTGAATGTCAGCCACTGTTAAAAGAGGAGGCTAATGGACTGTAATCTGAATGTTCTTTTTAGAAACATCATAATAAATTCAATGTGACTCCGTATTAACCAGAAGACTTAGTACAGGGGAACCAAAAGGTATGCACAGGACAGAGAAGACAGAGATGAAGGTGGGCATCTCAGAGAAATAGGAGCTAAGGCACATGTGGAACAAGGAGGAATTGGAGAAGGAGAAGGAGGAAGAGGAAGGTCTTCATTGCACTGGAAAAGAAAATACAGGGTTAGATGGAGATGTGGGTAGGTTTGCATTTGGTTTTAGGCTGTCGTTTAGTCATATGATGTATTTGTGTTGACATTGCTGCCCTGTCCTCTAATGGTGGTTGGCAGGGCTGAGCCTTCACACATGAAGCCTTCAGCGAAGATGTGGTGAATTGTATAGAGGACCCACAAACATGACTTTATTGGCTCAAATTCATTATCATGAAAGAGACTGAATCACACCAGAAATTACTGTTTTCCAGAAATGACTGCATTTTCATGACATTCGTCCCTGTGGTCTTCTTTACCGTAGTGGAGCCTCTTGTCCAACCCTTGCTTTCAAGCCTGCAGCAAAGCCTTCTACCCCTTGAACCCCCCAATCCGTGCTTGGCAACCTCACATTCCTTCACTTTAGCCATGACAATTGATCTGCAAAGCAAGTTGAGAGAAGAGCTTGGGGATTGTTGGAGGGGAACAGCTTCAGAAAATGAAATGTTTCTCCCACTAAGAATAACCACCACCCCATAGGTGCAATTATGACCAGGGCAGGGATTTATTTCCTTTATTACCATCCTCCTGCCAGGTTGCAAGTCTGCACATTAACAAACAATCTGACCCGAGGCCTGATAAGCCTCTACATTAAGTCAATAATTGCACTTGTGAGGCAACTTGGCTTTAGTCATCCTTTGTGGAAGATTGAGTGTTTGTCTTGCTATCAGTTAGTTCTCTCTCTTAGAAGTTTATCTCTCTAATCTGTCTTAACTTACCTGACCAGGTGACAGAGAATTTCCCACCAAATACAACACATGTGATTAAAGGACTGCTCTGAGTTCGATTATTGGGCAAACTTTGTTCCCTGGGGTAAAGACTTTTAATCAAATGTTGTGAATATAGTTTAATTATATCTGTCCTGGCATCATTTACCCAGAGGAAGCATTATTTGAAAGCTCATTTAATCTCCCTTTGAAGGTTTTGGTTTTAATGTTGACAAGCTTCTGAGAAGAGTGCCTTGGTAGGCGGAATGGAGCAAGAGAGAAGCTACGGGAGTACTGCATGCTGACTCTGAGCTGCAGGGAAAAGGCCTGTCTTCTTCATTCTCAAGAAGGGCAATGAGAATATGTAGCATTTAATACCCTGCGTTGCTTCTCGGCTGTTACTCATTCACTGGAGTACTGAGTGATACTGGACGACATCTGTGTATCATACAGGCTGCAATGTTTCACTTTCTCATCTCACCCACCTTCCCAGTGTTTCCTTAATCCTTGTACAGGAGATGCAAAACGTCTGATATTCCAGTGGGATTTTGTACTGGTAAAAATATCAAACTGGAAATAAGTAAACATCTTGTACCACTCAAAAAATATTAAGGAGAAGATAACATTAAACAATAACCAAAACAAATGATCACTTTCACTTTTCATTTTAAGTCATTGATTTTTCAGTGAAATTAAGCCAGTCTTCTATTAATATTAATTTGTCTTTTAAGGAAATATCTTCCCTGCTTTTACTGATGATATTATTAGGCTTCTGAGGTGTTCAGTGGTTATATTCCTATCAAGCAGTGTGTACTGTACATGAACTGATATTGTAAATATTTCCTCAATGTTTCCCACTTTGTGGAACCCATTCTGGACATCCCTGCAATTTTTCTTTTCTGAACTTACTGTAACATTTCACATAAATCATATTCATGCTATTGTTAAAGAAAAAAATGATATTTATTAAAGTGTGATGAGGCAGATATTCTTCCGCACATTCATGACATGTAAGGGGACCAGTGCATCAGTGTCCTCTTTCAATGGGAAAGATTGCACTCAACTCCAAACACAGCACAAGGGACTGTGAATTTTTAGCCAACATAGGCTGGGGTCAGTGGAAGGAAAGTTACTCAAGAGAAACATCAGAGAAAAGGGGGATTCTGCCTTATACAACCTGGAAGGATTTTTGGTGGGGACAGGCCTAAGTGATCATGTAACTGGCAGGGTTCGTGAGCCTGAGTGGCCAGTAATAAGCACACAGCCCCTGGGGTATGGTGGGGACTAAGGAACCTGACCAGAGAGGGAGAATGATCAGAGAGTGAAGAAGGGGATTCTGGCCACTGTGACTTAGCAGGGTCTTTGTTAAAACGTGCTTTCACAAGGCAGTGCCGAGATGTGCCGCTGAGAAGGTGTAGAAGCCTGACTAAAGTTTGGCCAAGCGAGGATCTTTGCCACTGCTCACCATGTTTTGGCCCAGTAAGAATGCTCCCACCTTGCCTACTTTGCTGTGAGCACCATGAGGCCCGGTTGGCCTCACATTTATACAGAGGTTGGCCTGCTGTGGCTGCATCACTAGTGACTGATGACAGATTGAGTGCAGATCTGTGAATGAATGACCTAAAACGGAAGTTCAGTCCACAGTGGGGGTGGGGTGTATGAGGGTGATAGGTGTGCTCTTTTTAAAATG